AGCTGTAAGTATAACGCCTTCATTAGATAGTCGTCCGGGACAGTGCGGCATGATGCTTCCGTGAGGAAACGTTGCCACCATGCCAAAGCGTCTGTCTTGTTGTGGTCGTCGAACTTGCTGATGTTGAAGTGCGGCATCTTGTAGTTCTTCGTAGTGGCGTCCGGTTTCGTCTGCAGCTTGGTGATGTCCGTCTTGATGGCGGCCACCGTGCTACTGATCGTGTCCGGCCCATTGAAAACACCTATGTCGCCGATGAGATTGACGATATGATCGATGCGCCCATTGAGCTGCTTCGTTGTGTCTGTCATATCTGGCGTGCAGCCTGGCGCTGCGTGGGGAGGCCTTGCCTCCAAGGTAGCAATGGGTGCATCCAGTTGTTTCAACTGGTTGTCCGCGACCTTGACAGCTGCTGCAAGTATCTTCACGTTGTGGCTCAGATCGTGCTGCAGCTGCAGTGTGGACCGGGAATGCAGCTCCCCCATGGAGCTGTTCCAAATGACGGCCCGCATTGTATGGAGTAGAATATCTGCCAGGTCGTGCCTCTCTTGGTGTACTGTTGTCGGCTCGCTGCCGGGTGCCGGCACATACGCATCCCGTTGAGCACCGCTGTCCATTGTGCTTGGTTAGCACTTACAACTTCAGCGCTGCCGGCGTTGAGCTGATCGATCGCCAACTGGTCTGCCTCGGCTTGACGCCGGGTTTGTGCTGCAGCTTCCTCTGCTAGCCGTAGTCTTTCGGCCGCGGCAGCCTCTTGCTGTTCCTTGACCTGGGTGAGTGCGGCTGTATAGTCCTGCATTCTCTGAATGAAGTCCGGGAGGGGCTCATTCGACCCTCGCACCGGACAGACCGGTAAGGGTTCGGCATTACTAGCTGTCGAACCCTCGGATGATGATCCGCTGTGTGGCGTGTTCGCCATCTGAGTACTGGTCTGTGGCGGTTGCGGAACTGGAGGTTGCTGTCGCTGTTGGTGATCGGCGATGCTCTTGCTGCGTCGTGGCTGCTGTTCGGAGGCTGGCCCTGCTGGCATCAGAAACTGTTGCTGAAGACTGGCTCGTCCGAAGGATCGCAGAACAGTGTGAGGGAGCGGGTGGGTACAGGGATAGAACAGATCAAGCAATCAACATACAGTCCCTGTCCCAAGGATGGACTAAGACACCTAATCAAACAGAAAATAAATTTTCCGTAAACAATTCGAAAATTCGTAATAAGAAGAATAATAACGAATTATTTAATCAATAATTAAATTAATGATTAATACGAAAGAATAATTCCTAATGATAATCAATAAAACAATGTTTGTAATAAAGATAATCAATAACCAATATTTGCAATAAATATAATCAATAAGCAATATTTGCAAGAATGGTAATGAAAGAATTTGAATTGTATCAAGATTAGGTCCCTTTGAGATCAAATACGGTCCGGGAATTCACCGTTAATGAGTGAACTACCCGGAAGTTGCAACTTTGAGCGTTAGCTTCGGATTAGTTTTCCGAAGAAAAAAAAAAAATCGGAAAAAGTTAGGGAAAAACACTCGAATTTTCAAAAACGTGAATTTTTGGGAATTTCCACCGTCAAAATCCGATTTTTAAAGGCCTAAACCTGTTTTCGGAATTTCTCGAACAAGGGGAACGAAAAAAAAATTCGCAAAAATTTCGGTCCCAACCCTAATTTTCCGCGTTTCGGCGGAATCTCCGGATTTACGGTCCCCAAAACGTTCGAATTCCCCAAGTTGATCTAAAACCAAAAGATTTCGTAACCCTAATTTCCACTACTGCGATAAAACGGAAATGCCAATTTGTAAAACGAAATACCAGATTAAAAATCAGAATTCCGAACTAAAAACGGAATACCGAAAGAAATCAGAATGCTGAAATCAACAGAAAACTGATTTAACCCTAATTACGAATTACTAACCAGAAATCCAAATCAAACAGAAGGTTGGATTATCAATTTATCGGAACCTAATAAAACAGCATACTGGCGAAAACAGAAATCCGAATAATAAGTCCGAATACTGAATTGAAACGGAAGTGCCGAAATAAACAGAATACCAAAAACAGGAAAAAAAAAATTGCAACTTTAAACTTGATAGTAATTCAGCGCTGATTTGGAAGATTGAAGAACAATCTAATTCCTAAATCAGTCTTACCTGGTGAGCAGATCCGTAATTGGTCTGCTCCGATACCAAAACTGTTACATACTTCAATGAGTATGGGCAGAACCAAAGATCAACCAATGTAGGATGAGCATATATGCAGCGGAAGTCTGATAAACGGACTGACTCACA